GGCTATAGGCAAGCTGTAGGGCACTTTCTTAATTAGTGATTGTGGGGGAGGGCCCAAACCATTGTGGATGAGGCTACCCCTGGGATGGTGGTCCTGGGTTCTAAAAGAAAGCAGGCTGAGGAAGCCTTGAGTAGCAGTAAGCAGCATCCATGCACAGCATCTGCATGAGCTCCTGCCTCCAGGTTCCTTTCCTGTTTGAGTTCCTGTCCTGACTTCCTTCAATGATGGGCTATGATGTAGAAGTGTAAGCCAAATAAATCCTTTCTTCCTAGCTTGCTTTTGGTCACAGTATTTCATCATAGCAATAGTGTTCCTAACCAAGACACCATGTAAAGATGGAAGGGGAAACTAACTCCAAAGTTGTCCTCTACCTCCACATGCATACCATGCCATGCCACCCTGCCACAATCATAATAAATAAGTAAACAGAAATAAGGCCATCTAGGAAAACTGACCAATGGGAGAGGGTGATCAGGAGAAAGAGGAGAGGAAGCTAGTTAGGGAATATGGCAAACATATAATATGTACATGTACAAAAGTTTTGTTTTGTTAATGAAAGGCTAGATTTAGATGGCCAGATGGCTGAGTGGGTAGGCTTTGCCACCAAGCCTGACAACCTGAGTTCAATTCTTGGAACCCACAACATAAAAGGTAAAAACCAATTCCAGTAAGTTCCTCTGATCACACAAGTGCCAAGGCATGTGCATGCACACAGACAGACACCAGTGCAGGCAGAAACACACACACACACACACACACACACACACACACACACACACACACACACACACACGTTTAAATATTTTTATTTAAAAAAATAAAAACAAGAATATTAACAATATAACAACTAAGCTCTACTTAGGTATTTTAGTCTCAAATTCTTAAATATTGAGAAAAATGATTACCAGATTTTATAAGGAAAGGGGGACCTGAAACAAAACTGAAAAGTGAACCACAAAAAAATTTAACAAAGAATAAAGGAATAAAATTAAAAAAAAGGACTTTCATGAAGAATAAAAACTAATCAATAAAATAACATAATTCTTTTAACTACTGAAACTTAAAAAGGAGAAAAAATGTAATAGACAAAACCAGAAACTAAAACTGAGGAAACTCTCCTAAAAAGATGTATAAGAATTTAGAAATATTTAGAAAAGGGTTAGAAAAGATAACACAGCAGAAGAAATAAAAAAGTATATTCAGAAATGTAGTGACCTCATCTCCAGACAGAAAGATCCCTTCCTCTTAGAAGATGGACACAGTTAAGCAAGCCCTGTAAGAGCTTTCTTTCCATGCACATGCACGCAACAGGCCACTAAATAAAATATTCAAAAAGTTATCTGAAAGAAGAAAAGACAAATTAAAAACAAAACATTTAGAACCATCCAGAAATTATGGAGTGTGTTTGTAATCCCTAGGAATGCAAGGAGAATCTTGAGTTCTAGACCACCCTTAGCCCTGTCTTTAAAAAAGAAAATCCCTAGACCCAGAGCCTACGGCTCTCTACCTCAATAACATGGTAGAACAGATGAGACATACAAGTTTAAAGGAGGGCTGTAGGGAGCTCAGCGGATGGGAGCTTGTCTGCCATATGGAAGGCCTTAGGTTTGAACTCTAGCACTGCCACCACCAAAGAAACAAAAGTCTAGGAAAAATACGGATAGTAAACAAGTAATAACAGATTCTAAGACCAAATTTGCTTGTTCACACGCCATTTTTAATAGTATATAATCCTGAATAAGTTGCCTGGCCTCTGCATCTGCATCTGTAATGAAGTTGGGTGCTATTTGTTTGTTTTCTTGTTTGATTATTTGTGTTTTGAGACAGGGTCTTACAATGAAGCCTTGGATATCCTGGAACTCAGAGAGCTGCCTGGCTCTGCCCCCTGCATGCTGGGATTGTTAAAGGTGTGTACCATCACGCAGGCTTTGTAAGGAGGCTGTTATGAAGATAAATTAACTCATACTTATTGACATGTGTAAAAACGCTGCCATGTTGTATGTATCATCATACAGAAGCACTCTGGAGAGCAAGACTAGGGATAGAAAGAAGTGGAACAGACTTTGGATTTTTCTTATAATCCCTCAAGAAAGACTGACTGGCGTTTTGCTACCTTCACATAGTACCCAATTTGGTGAGGGATTTGTGAAATGAAGTCTAATGATAGTTCTTTTAAAAACAAAGGACCACAAAACAAAAAAGTATGAATGTGGGAAAGAGACCTGTGGGGCCGGCCCAGGGCAGCCTTGCATAAGTGGGAGGGAGATGAGAGGATGGGAAGTGAGAGTAAGCAGAACGTACCAGAAACGTGTATGAAACTGTCAAAGGAAAAATTTAATCAGTATTTTAAACATATAAACACATGCTCTCACACACACACACACACACACACACACACACGCACGCACGCACGCACGCACGCACGCACGCGCACACAAAACTTCCACGTGAAAAGTCTAGGTTCAAATGGAAAGCCGCTCGGATAAAACCAGAATTACAGTAACAACACCAAAGCCAAAGATACTACAAAAACATAACCAATAATTCTCAAGGCCATACAAGTAATTTCCTTAAAATTCTATCAAATTAAATCTGACAATGTATAAAATTGGCAATTTATTGGAATTTAATCCTAGGACAGCAAAGAATGTTTAACATTTAAAATAATGTAAATCCAAAATCCATACAAAAGCAATGTAATTCATTTTTATTAAGAGATTTAAAACAAACAAATAACCTTGTTCCTGTCCACAGATGCATAAAAAAATAACAAAATCTATGATCTTGTTCCTTATAAGATCTCTCAACAGACTAGACAGTAAACACTTTAAAAAACCTGACAGTTTCTTATAAACGGACATCTACCATGTAAACTATTCATTCCACACAGATAGCTGCCCTACAGAAACAAAAGCAGGACCAGTGAGAATGACCAGAACCTGAAGGCACTTGCTACCAAGTCTGAGAGCCTGAGTACACTCCAGGACTCATATGCTGGAAGGGAGAGAACCACCCGTGCTAATTGGCCTCTGACCTCCAAACATAATATGCTGAGGCACATATGTACCAAACACACAAAAATAAATAAAAATGTAATTTTTAAAAACTGGAAAGCATTTGACTATGGAAAGATCTATATATAAATGTTCATAGAAGTTTAATATGTAATTGGCAAATATGAAAACAACCTGTATTTTCAACAATAGATATACAAACAGATAACAATAGAAATCATTCAACAATAAAAGCAGATTCTTTTATATGGGAACAATATGGGTAAATCTCAAGGTAAGTATGCTATGTGAAAAAGGCCAAAACAAAGTGAATGGGGTATGGGATAGGTGCGTGAATGCATTCACACAAAATTCTAGAAAATCTGAACTCTTCTATAATGACAGAAAACCTGAAAACAGGGGATGGGAAGGAGGGAAGGGCTTACAAAAGCACATTTTCCTTTCTTTATGTTGACGATCTCTTGGGAATATGTGAAAAGTGGCAAGATACTATTATAAGCTTTAATTAAATGTAATTTAGTTTACCTCAACAAAAGTCAACAGACAGGCATGGTGGGATATAACTGTAATCCCAGCTACTCAGGAGGCTAAGGAGGAATGATAAAGGGTTTAAGGCCAGCCTGGGCAGCTTACCATAAGGCTACCTCAAAATAAAGAAACAGGGTGTGCAGATCAGTAGTAGAATACATGACTAGAATACACAAAAGCCCTAGGTTCCATCCCCAATCCAAACAACAAAACACCTTAAACGTTCAGTTTTGTGTTGTTTTCCTCCCAGTGTAAAAGAAGACTTGAAAGAATACAAGTAAAGCAAACGCAGTGGTGCATACCTACGAACCCCGCATCCAAAAGCTAAAGCTGCAGGCAGGAGAGACGGCTCAGCCATTAAGAGCACTGGTTCATCTCACAGAGGACCCAGGTTTGATTCCCAGGATGCACATGACAGCTCATAATCATCTGTAACTCCAACCTTAGGAGATCCATGCACCAGGCACTCATGTGGTACACAGACATATTGTAGGCAAAACACTCACGTACATAAAAAAAAAAACACCCCCTCTCCCCAAGAGGCTAAGACAGCTGGATCTCAGTTCAAGAGATCCAGGGCTACAATGAGGCCATTTCAAAACTTAACAAAACAGTAGGCTTACTCAACTCAAAACAAAACTAAAAGTGATCATGACCACAATCAATCAGTAAAATACTAGGTAAGGATATCTATACCCAGATTATCTATACCATCATTACATTCCATTTGTCTGAGATTGCATATATACCAGAGGTCTACTGAGATTTTTATATCAGTGTCCAAGAACAATGAATTACTCGTATGTCTCATGGTAGTGACTGTGTGAACATATCTACTGTACTGCCAGTCACACTTTTATATTGCATAACAGCTGGTAATGATAATAACTTCCTACTGGTCTATATATTTACAACACTTGTTACCAGTGTATTAAAGAACGCTACTCCTACTTTTTTTCTTTTTTTTCAGAGTAAACCTTTTAAAATGATATCTTTTTTTAGCTAATGTGTACTGGTGTTTTGCCTGCATGTATGTCTGTTGTGATGGTATCAGATCCTCTGGAAGTGGAGTTATAGTTTTGAGCTGCCAAGTTGGTGTTGGGAATTGAACTCAGGTTCTTTAGAAGAGCAGGCAGTGGTCTTAATTGATGAGCCACCTCTCCAGCCTAATACTATTTAATTATTTAAAAAACTTTTTTCTACACCTCCAACTGCCTCATGAACCTTGCATTTCCCACTCTTGACAACATCAACCATCCATAGGGAACAGTGGGTAGACTTATATACCATGAAGATTGACGTAGGTGTTCTCTACAATGTTGACACCACAACAAAATCTCCTAGTGACACATTTCTTAGCAGGTATATACCCTTATAATTAAGCAATGTATGACTATACTTAAGATACATGCTGCCATTTGACTAAACATGAACCTGAAAGACTTTACAAGCTGGTACCTGTGAGATATGGTTGATGGAAGACTCCATCCTCCGAAGCTGAGAGGCTTGGATATCCAGCAACTGGAGTACATTGTTGGCCAATGCATTTATTTGATAAGCAACACTAGCTAGAGATTGGGTTGTATATGCTTTGGTCTCTTCTAGAGCTTTTCTCTTGTCTGTAGCCTGAAATAAGAACAAAAATAACCAATTCTTAGTTAACATTCATTAAACACACATTCTATACAGTCATTTTTCCCCATTTAAAGAGCCCAAATCGGCAATATCTAACTAGCCAAATGGCATGCTGATATTTTGGGGGGGCGGGGCGGGGGGGGGGGGGGGTTCTTTACAGACCTTAAAAAAAATATATTCAATTTTATATGAAAAAACAAAAAAAACCAGGATAACTAAAACAATCCTGTACCATAAAAAAGAACTGCTGGAGGTATTACCATCCCTGATTTCAAGCTCTACTACAGAGCTATAGTAATAAAAACAGCTTAGTATTAGCACAAAAATAGACACATTGATCAATGGAATCAAATCGAAGACCCAGACATAAATCCACACACATATGGATACTTGATTTTTTGACAAAGAAGCCAAAAATATATAATGGAGAAAAGAAAGCACCTTCAACAAATGGTGGTAGCATAAACGGATGTCCACATGTAGAAAAATGCAAATAGATCCATATCTATTGCCACACACAAAACTCAAGTCCAAGAGGATCAAAGACCTCAACATAAATCCAGTTACAAGGAACCTAACAGAAAAGAAAGTGGAGAACAGCCTTAAACACACTGACACAGGAGACAACTTCCTGAACAAAACACCAGAAGCACAAACACTAAGATCAACAATAAATGGGACCTCGTGAAACTGAAAAGCTTCTGTAAGGCAAAGGATCCTGTCAATAGGACAAAACTGCAGCCTATAGAATGGGAAAAGATCTTCACCAACCCCACGTCTGACAGAGACAACATATATAAAGAACTCAAGAAACTAGACATCAAAAAAAACCAAATAATCCAATTTTAAAAAGGGGTACAGATCTAAACAGAGAATTCTCAACAGAAGAATCTCAAATGGCTGAAATACACTTAAAGAATTGTTCAACATCCTTAGCCATGAGGGAAATGCAAATCAAAATGAGTCTGAGATACCATCTTAACACCTGTCAGAATAGCTAAGATTAAAAATACAATTGACAGCTTATGCTGGAGAGGATGTGGAGCAAGGAGAACACTCCTCCACTGCTGGTGTGAGTACAAACTTGTACAGCCACTTTGGAAATCAAATAGCGGTTTATCAGAAAATTAGAAATCTATCTAAATCAAGAGCCAGCATATACTCAAAGAACACTCAATCATACCACAAGGACACTTGCTCAACTATGTTCACAGCAGCTTTAGTTGTAATAGCCAGAACCTGAAAACAACCTAGATGCCCCTCAACCAAAGAATAGATAAAGAAAATGTGGTACATATACACAATGGAGTATTACTCAACTGTTAAAAACAATGATATCATGAAATTTTCAGGCAAAGGGATGGAATTAGAAAAAAAATCATCCTGAGTGAGGTAACCCAGACCCAGAAAGACAAACATGGTATGTACTCACTTCTAAGTGGAAAATAGCTGTAAAGGATAATCATGCTACTATCCACAGACCCAGAGAAGCTAGGTAACAAGGAAGGTTTAAAAGGGGACACATGGCTCTCCCAGGGAAGGGGAAATAGAGATCTCCCAGGTGGACTGGGAGTGGTGTGGATGGGAACTTGAGGGATCAGGTGGAGGATGGTTGGAGGGGAAGAGATGACTGAAAAGTGGGGGGGGGGCACCTTTTCAGGGTTAGGTAGAAACCTGATGCCAGGGAAACTCCCACAAATTTACAAGTATGACCCCAGCTAAGACTCCTAGCAATAGTGAATATGTGGCCTAAACTGGCCATCTGTGATCAGACTGGTGACTACCCCAATTGTCATTCAAGAACCTTCATCCAGTAACCGATGGAAACAGATACAAAGATCCATGGCCAAACATTAGGCTGACCTTGGGGAATCCTGCTGAAGAGAGGGAGGAAGGATTGTAGAATCCAAAGGGGTCAAAGGACATTACAAGAAAACCCACAGAATCAACTAACTTAGGTCATAGGAACTCGGAGTCTGAACCAACAACAAGGGAGCCTTCATGGGACCAACTTAAGCCCTCTACATACATATATATGACAGTTGTGTAGCTTGGTCTATTTGTAGGACTCCTAATAATGGGAGCAGGGCTGTCCCTTATGCTTTGGCTAGCTCTTGAGAACCTATTCCTCATACTGGATTGCCTTGCTCAGCCTTAACGCAAGGGAAGGTTTTTTGGGTTTGTTTGGGTTTTGGGTTTTTTGGTTTTTGGTGGTTTTTTTTTTGGGGGGGGGGGGGTTGGTTTTTGTTTTTATTTTTTTCTTTTTCTTTTCCTTTTTCTTTTATTAAGAGATTTTCTATTCATTTTACATATCAACCACAGATTCCCCTGTCCTCCCTCTTCCCACCCCTGAGCCTTCCCTCCCAACCCACCCCCTATTCCCACCTCTTCCAAAACAAGGTCTCCCACGGAGAGTGAGCAGAGCCTGATACATTCAGTTGAGGCAGGTCCAAGCCCCTCCTCCCTGCACCAAGGCTGTGCAAAGTGTCTCACCACAGGCACTGGGCTCCAAAAAGCCGGCTCATGCACTAGGGACTGTTTCTGATCCCACTGCCTGGGGTCCCCTAAATAGTTCAAGCTAAACAACTGTCTCAACTATCCAGAGGGCCTAGTCCAGTTCCATGGGGACTCCTCAGCTATTGGTTCACAGTTCATGTGTTTCCACTAGTTTGGCTAGTTGTCTCTGTACTTTTTCCAATCATGGTCTCGATAGCTCCTGCTCATAGAATCCCTCCTCTCTCTCGTCAATTGGTCTCCTGGAGCTCTGCCTGGGACCCGGCCATGGATCTCTGCATTTGCTTTCATAGAACCACTGGATGAGGGTTCTATGATGACAGGATATTCAGCCATCCGATCACCAGAATAGGTCAGCTCAGGCACCCTCTCGACCATTGCCAGTAGTCTACGATGGAGTCATCCTTGTGGATTCCTGGGAACCTCCCTAGCACTGCTTCTCCCTATTCCCATGGTGCCTTCATTTATCATGGTATCTCTTTCCTTGTTCTCCCACTCTGTTCCCATTCCAGCTGAAGAATGGATAAAGAAAATGTGGTACATATATACAATAGAGTACTACTCAGCAGAGAAAAATAATGGCATCATGAGGTTTGCAGGCAAATGGATGGAACTAGAAAATATCATCCTGAGTGAGGTAACCCAGACTCAGAAGGACAAACATGGTATGTACTCACTCATAAGTAAATACTAGATGTAAAGCAAAGGATAACCAGACTGCAACTCACAGCTCCAGGGAGGCTATCTGGTAAGGAGGACCCTAGGAAAGACATAGGGATTGCCCAGCGATGGAGAAATGGATGAGATCTACATGAGCAAACTGGGAGGGTGAAGGGGAGTAATGGAGGGTAAGAGAAGGGGGTGGGGGATGAGAGTTAAGGAAAGGTTCTTAGTCCTACTGCAACTTGATATGCCATGCTTTGTTGCTATCCATGAGAGGCCTGCCCCTTTCTGAACAGAAACAGAGGAGTGGGGGTGGGGTGGAGTAGGAGGAGAGGAGGGAGGAGAAACTGTGGTTGGGATGTAAAATAAATAAAGTTAATTTAAAAAAAAAAAAAAAAAGCCCAAATCAGTTTGGCAAGATAACTCAATAGGTCAAAGTGCTTGCTGTACAAGCCTGGTGACCTGAGTTTGATTCCCTGAAGCTCCTTAAAGATGAAGGAGAAAAACAGCTCCAAAGATGTCTTCTGACCTCCCCATGCATGCTGTGGCACTGGTACCCTCACACTTATGCACAACTTATGCTGAAACTAAAGGGCCACCTAGCTTTTGAGGGCTCAGTATTGATTACTACTCAGAGAAGAGGAAAGTATAACAGCAGTCACAACAAATGACACAGGATACCAGTGTCACCAATGGTCACAAGCGTGCAGAGTGTATTAATAAGTTAAAAACCATTCAGTGTAACATTTATGTGGCTATAGTAAATGGATGAGATAAAGGATAGGTGGCAGGGAGAGCGGAAAATAGAAGCAAGCAAGGTTTAATCAAAGGAAAAAAGAGGAATAGAAATATCTGTTATGAAGAAGAGAAAATAGCAGAGGGGGGGAGGCTAGAGTTATAACCCTGTGGTAAGTATGTGTTTGTTGAGCTCACAAGGCCTACAATTCAGACCCTAGAAGAGCCTGAATGAATGAATGAATGAATGAATGAATGAGTGAGTGAATGAAAAGAATGAGACTTCTCAGTAACAAGAATAAGCTTAAATAGAAGAGGAATAGAACATAAAAACAAAATCTTAATAAGATAAAGTCAGTATAGAAAAATAGAAAGCAAAAGGGAAACACAGTAGATCATAAGAAAACCAAAGGAAAAGGAAAAGTGTCCCCTGAACTGGAGTCCTGGATTGAATAATAAAGAGAGTGAGCTAAGCAGCCAGCTTATCTCCTGCTTCTGACTCCATGGCATGCCATCATGAGGAACTGGACTCTCAGACTGAACCAAAACAAACATTTCTTCAATTGCTTTTCTGCCAGGTACTTGTTACAGCAATGAGGAAAATAACCAATAATTAGTTCTGGTCATGTAAGAGAGACAGCTGTGCATGATGGACTGAAGCATGTTTTCTCTGTTGTCTTTACTCATGAGTCCTGTACATCTAAAAGAGAGGCCGGGCGGTGGTGGCGCACGCCTTTAATCCCAGCACTCGGGAGGCAGAGCCAGGCGGATCTCTGTGAGTTTGAGGCCAGCCTGGGCTACCAAGTGAGTTCCAGGAAAAGGCGCAAAGCTACACAGAGAAACCCTGTCTCGAAAAACCAAAAAAAAAAAAAAAAAAAGAGAGAGAGATATGCGCATATACCATATTGACAGACTGTACTGTGGTGGTTTTTACTGTTTTGTTTACTCAAGCTCAGACTATGTGCTCCATAATCTTCTCCTTTGTATGGCTGCCAAACACACTGGGTTAGAACTAGCCAAAAGAGGGGTTTGTATAAGCAACGCTGTCTACCATCTGCAGGTGTCCCTGGTTAGATGCA